ATTGAACTGGCAAGTGGCCAAGGTGACTGAGACATATACATCAGCAGTGGTCACAGCAAAAGTGCACAAGGCTCTTCAAGAAGCCCAAAAACCAGCAAGATGGAAATGACGGGCTGTATAAGTGCTGCCTCTAGTCTCATGAATCCAATATTTATCTAAAATTCAAAGAACCTGATGTTGGCATTACTTTCAAAAAGGGATAATATAGGCTTCCTTGCAAGGTACCTTCATTTAGACATGAAGGTGAAAGCAAATTCCTTTTATAACTGAGAAGAATCAGGTAGACAAAACTAAGTTCCTTTCACCTCATCAGAGTTAAACAGCAGCAGAGGCAGGAGGACAGAGAGTTGATTAAAGGCATTGTCCTGACCGCCTATACCACAGTGGTGAAGCAAGGGGCGCCTTAAGGAACCAGGTCAGGAGACACTGATTTCTCTATTCAACTCGGAGGCACCACTTTGTAAATGACACAATCATTTTTGGGTACAAGAGGTGCTTTAAATGTGGTAACATTATATCATTTCGGCTATAATGATCATAATTACTTATTTCTTTTAATCACAACCCACTTAACCACTTTAGTACAGAGGACTAGTTCAAGGAGTTTAATTTTCATTCAACATCTAATCTTTGTGTTTACTGAAACCCTTCACGTGCTTTGTTTACTATCTGCTTGCTGGCCTGGACGTTTGATCTTGCAAGAGTAGATTAGACAGGATCAGATAAAATACTGATTACTAGAATCAACCAGACTCAAGGAAGTAACACTGGTTTTAAAAATCTTCTTTTCTCCCAGCTTTGTAATATTTTTCTAAATAGACTCAAATAAACAAATAAAATTAAGAAAACCAGCAATCAGAGTGTTTTGAGCAATGACTGAGGAAAGTGATGGGGCTGATTTCCAACCCTAACTGAAATACAGGGTTTGGCCCATTCATTCTGGTGGCATTATTCTATGACATAAATAATTTTGTCATAGCCACCAGTATTTGTATGAACTTTAAGTGACCCCCTCATTTCTTGAGACATTAAATATTTGAGATGAATCTCAGCAAAGATAGTTAATTTGAGGTTCTAGCAACAATCTTTTAGACATTAAGCTATTTGAATTTACTAATCAAGGGTCCATTCAGAACCCATGTGAGGGTCTTAGTTGGCCCCCTCCTCACCTATGTGCCCAGTGAACATGTGGGAACAGAATCAGCTGTACTGCAAATACAACTGCCACTTGGCTTCATAAAAATTATGAGGTAAGTTCATACCTGGAGTTCTTACAAAAAACAGTTGGACTAAAAGCTAATATTTTACAAAACAACTATAAAGATGATATCCATGGAGTAAATCCCCAAGCCTTGAAAATTATTATACAGGAAGCTGAACATGTCTAGGTAGCTATGAATTATCTCTCTGACTACACTAATATAACACCTAAACACTGAATGGCTGTTTGCTTTCCTGTTGGATAAAAGTACAACATGTTCCTTACACAGAGGAACTGAGTGCTCTGGAAAATCTAGCCTAGACAGGGCAAGCTTTAAAAAGAGGTACAGGGGAACCTAACATGCCACCCACTTCCTTAGGGGCAGAGACTCCTGGGACCAGGTTCGAGGTAGGACACTGAAACTAGTGTATACAAACTGTTTCCCCATTGCTCCTAAAGTAATGGTAATGTTAACTCAAATATGTCCTTGTCAACCTTGATTGTCTTTGAAATTGAAGCAAAAAGGTAAACAGAGCAAGGTTGTCTGTAATCACTGGGGAAAATAAAGTCAACAAGCTAAGCCAAACCAATTTAGGACTTTTTAAAGACTAAGTGTAAATAGTTTAGATACAGCAACAACAAATTCAAAAAAATGGACATTAAAATGTTTACTTCAAAAGTTAGACAATTCCATTTGTCTGTAGTTTTTACATCTGTTTTTAATGATATCATATTATTGATCGTTCCTTTTTCTCATATTTATTTAAGCATTAACTATAGAATTTGTCATCTGATCTTTCTCTCTCTCTCTCTTTTTTTATCTTTCCAGTAGACTCTTATTTTTGCCAGGTTTGAATCTTGTTTTGCTTTGATCTTTAGAATATATAATTATTTTACTGTTTATTTATTTCTATGAGAATAGAAAAAAAGAATTGACCTGGGAGAGCTAGATGTGGCAATTTGTAACAGAATCACATAGCTTATGTTTAAGAAATCATGGTTTTGATTAAGAAGCAACCATTTAGTTCCCACTGTTTTATTAAAACAGACATTAGCAGATAATAGGAAACATATTTAAGGATAGAGCCTGCGTTTTGTTTAGGACATCGGTAAGCTGGCTGCAAATTTCCTTCTGCAGCTAACATAAGCCATGGTAAATGCATACTGGTAACTCGGTGAGATGACAGGGAGGTATGTGCCTCTCAGACTTGTGTATTCTCAGGAAGAAGCCGAAGGTACTGGTTTGCTCTGGCTGTTACAGACTTCCAGATTTGAATAACATTACTTCTGTACATTTTGAAAAGGTATAGTCACCAGCAAATGTTAGAAACCAAACTTCCATGAGAAATGGATCTAGACAGGAATCTCCTGCAATACCCATCCTTAGCAAGAAGCCTCTGTCAAACGAGAAGAACCAGCGAGGCCCAACACTTCTGTTTCCTAAAGGTAGAAAGTTAATAGAACGAACTCTCGGTGGTGGTTTTCTGCACACCCTTATACCTGCCATACATTTCCTGTTGTTCCTCCCACTCCCTGGGCTGATGAATCAACTCCACTTGAACTGTTTGATGCCAGCTTGTGTTTACTTCACACAAACCTTAACCTTCCTTTTTTTCCCTCCTACTGACACACACACAGAGATACACATACACTTGCCAGCAGCAACGACTAGCTCTTGGAGTATGTGTACACAGTGTCTGACAGCCTCTTCAGGTGTACATCCTTGACCTACTGAAGGAAGTCAACGCCTTCATCCGCTTTTATGGCACTTAAAGATTTAACTGTGCATTTACTATCTTGAAAAAAAAAACAATTTAAAGAATTGAATCTCTGAAAAAGACGACAAAACACACACACACACACACACACACACTGGTTGTGACTTCACTAGAGTTCTCAGGCTTCCAGAAGCTGAATTACAGTCTAGCATATAAAAGAGCACACTCTCTTCCTTTCCCTCACACGGCAGGTAAATGTGATCAGGAAATGGCCTTGAAGCTACAGGATTTTTTTTAGTCAAGGATGGTACATTCAAGCATTTTAACAACTCAGTTATAAAAAGAAAACCTTGTAGACAACACTTAGAGAAAAGAAAGCTTCTGAGCCACACAATCACACCATGTAACGAGGAGTTATTTAGCTTCTCTTACATGGGAGTGAGTATCAATACTGAAAAACAAATACCCTACCAGAATCAAAAGGGCTTAAAGAATTTGAGAATATGTTAAAAATAAATTGATTTTAATTCAGTTTGCAGTATACTTAACTTCTGGATAGCTCAACATTTTTGCTTCTCTTTAAGTTGTATATTTAGCATAAAATGCTCTCCCTTTTTCTTGATCTAAATTGTGTGGCTGATGCATCTGAAAGCTCATTTGCTCAAGGGCAATCTTGTAAACAAGCTCTCAGACACTCAATAGCCAGAAGTATTGCTTTGATACATATCCTGTCTCCCCTGAGGAAGCCTGCAAGTAATAAAACACAATTCATCCTTCACTTCTACCTACCCAGCAGATCATCACGTGGCCCTTGAATGGGGGCAGCGAGCTGTTGGCAAGACTGTGAACACTATCATAAAGCCAGACGGACAGCATCACAGTCTTGCAAACTATAGACTGGAGCTGCTCTCAAACATCAGTGTCACAAAAATGACCCCAAATCTCCTCAAAGACTAATGACATCTGCCTGAATCGGACAGAATAAAAGGACTTTTATGTTAACATGTTCGTAAAGATAAAACAACACTAACATGTTACCAACACGAGATGATCTAAGTAGCATCTTATTTGTTATGTAAAAAACCTGTGTTTTCAAGACTACATATAATTTCACATGTAATATACAACTTCTGGTCCTACTACTACTACTTAGTAGTACTGGTAGTATAGTAGTCATAGTATGTCTTTACTACTAGTTATTCAGAAGTAATTCTGTGTCAATATTATCTTGTTTAGTTCTCACAGCTATTAAAGGACGTAGACCAATGATTCTTAACTGTGAGTTGGTTGACCAGATATCCTGTGTAACAAATATTTACATTATGATTCATAACAGTAAAAAAAATTACAATTATAAAGGTAGTAATGAAAACAATCTTATGGGGTTGGGGTCACCACAACATGAGAAACTGTATTAAAGAGTGGTAGCATTAGGAAAGGTCAGAACCACTGAACTAGATACTTTCATTTCTAATTGTTAAATGAAGATATTGAATCTTGGTGAAATTAAATAATTTGACCAAGTTCATGTAATTAGTAAGTTGAAGACCAGACCTGAGTTCAAACCTGCCAGACCACAGAAACCTGGAGGTGGGATACTACTCAGGGTCTCCACTAAATAGACACATCAAAATTCTGTTCCTAACCCAAGCTTTCCTGAAGCTTTGGCACTCATTCCAACTTGTTAATCAGTAGTCAAATCCTAGGTGTTATGTAACATGGAATAAAACTTTTAAATTTCCATCCTAATAGATTTTGGCCTTTACAGGGAATCACTGGAGAAAACTACAAAGTTGACAAATTATGCTAAGAATTGTTTTGTGGTCCTAATACTTATTTACAACCCTTCCTAAACTAAGGGTTGAATTTTACGACAGAAATATTAAGAATCTTACCTTCAAAAATACTTAAGTATGTATGTATGTATGTATGTATGTATGCATATACACACACATATACACACACACATATATATAAGTATATATATACTTATATATATGTTATATATAATTAGCACAGAACTAATAGCTCATTACCTGAGAGTCTACACATAGTTTTAAAAACAAAAAATCTGAGATTACCTTTTATCTTCTTATATTTTTTGTACCATCTTCCAAACTCCTGGCACTTGGTTGCTGACACATTGGCATAGTATGTGCTATTTACAATGGATGAAATCATACTCTGAAAAGAAGGGAGAGATGAGTTAGTTCTCATATACATGAATGTCTTATTTTAGCGACCAGAAGGGACACATTGCATGCAGCCCATACAGGTTTCCTTTGTCTTTTAAACCTAAAGCTATGGCCCCTCTGCAAATGAAATGATTTAATAACAAAACAGGGTGACCAGAATTCACTATCCCTTAAGTATATTTGTATAATAACAATGCTTTCTAAAACAAAAGCCAATTCTAGAATACTGTCAAAGATGGAGAGATCAGGGCACACAGACTAAATGCCGGAGGGACGGCCGGCTGCTGAGCTAGAGTACAAGGTGACATCAGATGCACCAGCACCAGCAACCCAGATAATGCTTTTCAGATGTCTCTGTTCCTCTTCCAACTGCAACAAGCTTACAGAGCCAAGAATCTGAGAACATCCGTGCTACACACTGCAGAACAACGTTTAGGGAAATAAGTTAAATTAATATAATTTATAGAAACGTGTGATTATCACTTGTGTGAAAATTCACCAAATGAGAAACTTAACAGTGCTATTTTCGAGCAGGGGAACCAAATCTAACACTTCTGCTGTGTTTCAACCAAAAAACCGAATTAAAGTTAAAACTTTCTGAGCGCTCACACTCATGACTGTTGCGGTGCTTCCTCCCCTCTTGCCTCAGATCTGTTTGTCCCTGAGGTTAGAAAAACAAGCAAAGGGACATAGGCTGACTCTGCACTGGGAATTTTACATTGTAATTACGCATCTTGACTTAGATGTCCTACAGAGAGACACTTCCTGACTCTGTGGTATATCTGAGCCAAAATGCTGGACAGATGCCCACTCACACCTGAACAACTATGACATTATACATGTCTGTTTCATATGGACATTTGATTTCTATAAATGTGTGTAACAGCAAGTGTGCATGAACACTCAAGCCATCCTAATGACCTGCATAAGGTGTGAGATTGTGCCTATAAATAAGTCTCACCTGTCTCAACAACAACAACAACAATAACAACAAAGTCATCTCAGACATGGAAAAACTCAGAAAAGCTTAGAGCTTGTAATGACATTTCTATAACACAGCACAGATAAAGAGAATGACACAGAATCAAAGTAAGCAACATAGTAGGGGACTTCAACCCCCAGCACACAGACTCACACTTAAAATGTCAGACTTGATTCTTCGTTTCATCACTATGCACAAGTGGAGGAAGAAGTTCCTAATTCAATTCACAGAAACCTCTTTGGCCTTTTCCACACAACAGATGGCTAGCCTCACCCAGCTGATTGCTTAAGGACATTTTCCCCCTCTGAGGTAAGATAGTAGAGAGAGCTCTGAGCTCTCTAGGTCTGAACAGAATACTGAAAATGCAAAAACCCCTGGCACCCACTTGTCTCCTAAGACTTATGATGCCTTGCCTCCAGCCCTTAAGAGGATCTGCCTTGGCAAGACCTGCTTTGTAACCAAATAAATCTGTGCAGCAGCAGGTTGTACTAGCTCCCTCTCTGGTCTAAGATACATTTACTCTTCCTAGACTGTGGGACCTTGAGGAAAGTGACAAGCTGCCATCTCCGGTCCTTTTTTCCTCTTCTTCTTCGTGTCTCACATAGTTCTGATGTGGGATGTCTGAGTCATTGAAATTTAACACATGAAGGGACAGGAATGAAATTCTGAAATGCCAAACTCAAATGTCATAATAATAGAAATTCTAACATGGAAGCTACCTAATAAAAGCTGCCTGTCACTGCCACACTGGGGTGTGAACTTTCAAACATGCTCACCATCTCCTTAGCTTGTGATGAATGTTGTCTTCTGGGAAGGTACAGGATAGAAAGCCACGTACAAGTCAAAGTCAGACTTCCTTTCGAAAGCTAGTCTAGAAAGCATCCGAGGACTTTCTAGAGCTGTCCTTTAACTCTTCCAGGTCCAGAACGTGAGACTATAGCCTACATCACTCTGGTCCCAGACAATCCTATCTCCCTCCATCCCTAGCCATTCTCTCTAGCCATTCTGGACCCTGGTCCAGCTACCAGTCCCGTGGTGGTGCACAAGTCCATCTTGAGCCTCCGTGGGAAGGCAGGGAGAAGGTATCCTCTACAGGCTCCATCACCAGGGCCCAAATTTCATGCATCTGCTTTAAAAAGAAGGAGATTGGGCACCCATCTCAGTCAAACTCTCTTCCCCAGATTATTACACACGAGTGTCTTTACTGCTTCAGAAAACAGAATAGATTTCAATTATGAACTAAGCAAAGGAATTTGGATAGCAAAAATAGACATTCCTTGGGTAATGACAACTTTTTATTATGAGAAAGAATTGATTGACTTTATGATACAATTACTCACATTAACTCTTCACAGAGTACACTCAGTAGTTGTATAAGTAAGTTGTCAGGCACCATCATCACAACTTAAAAGTGCAGGTATCTTTTGGAAATAATGTACAGCAAAGGCCATGGTGCATGGAATCATCCCATTTTTAACATGAGAATCCTCTAAACTTAAAGGAGATAAACGTATTCTCATGCCTTGGGCCTGAATCATGAGATCCTGGAATGTAGTACAAGACCTTACTGTGGTGGTAGCACCAGTAGGTTAGAAATTCCACACTTAGCTAGTGATGTTCAAAGCTGGGAGGAGCTAACACAGAGTCAGCACATGCAACTTGACTTCTACAAGGTTCCGAGACACAGAGGATGTGTGTGTATCACACGACTCACTCTAAGCCATTTTAAGCAATGTAATATCACAGACACGGGGGAATATCTTCTCATCACTTATCGCCTTTTTCCTTTTGTAGAACTTGGGATCCAGCTCAGCCCTTTCCATGTCAAGCAAGCAGTTTACCACCAAGCTATTAGTATTACCCCAGCCTGTCGATAACAACTTAAACCAGTGAAGATGAGACAGTGAAGGCAGAATGTGATGAATATTGATTAAAATCCTTCCCACCTTCCATTCTGACACTACTACATATCGTTCTTCTTGCTGTATGATGTGCTGTGGAAGGGTACTTTACTCGGTGAGAGTAAGCTCACACAACAGTGGTCCTGAAAGACTACTAGAACTGAAAAGCACCGATCTCCCAGTGACATAACATTGTAACAACATGTGTTATTGCTGTGTTTTCAAGCATACTCTGGTAAACAAATCTACTACATTGCCAGTCATAAAAAAAAACTATAGCACACACAACTATATGTTAATATGCAATGTCTAACAATGATCACAAACATCTGTGGTATTGACTTATGTAAATACTATATTGTTCCTTCTTTCTTTTTTGGAGCATGCTCTCCTACACACAAAAGTTTTCTGGAAGGCCATACGCCATGCTGTCTCAGTAGTGCCTCTGTGCATCTCTCACGTGCTCTTGATTACACCAGAAGGCTACTGAGTGACTGACCTCCCCATCTACATTTCTGAATGCATGCTCTGTATGTTCACATGATGCTGATGGAATCATCTCATTTCTCAAGATGAATCTCCATCATTAAGGGACACATGACCAACTATACTTATTTTAGCTAGATTGCCCTGTCTAAAAATAAGTTTGCTTTCAGATTCTTGAGATAAATTTTAAACTCACTTGTTTTTTTAACTAGCCCAGGCGACAGATGTCACACCTGATTATAAGTATGGTTTGATTTCCAAACTGAGGGCTTAGAGACTGAAAATGAGAAAGCTCACTGACCAAAGTTAGACGCACTGGGAAGTGCCACACAGAACCTCCACTGCAGGCCTGCGTGAGCTCATGCTCACGAGCCATCTTCCACACAGAAACTCTACTTTATTTAGACTTTTAATTACATTTGTATTTCTTTATTTAGCTTGTGTGGAGGCACACACAACAGTTTGGACATGGAGGTTAGAGGACTACTCTTGGAATCCAGTTCTTTCCTTCCATTATGTGGGTCCCAGGATCTAACTTAGGCCCTTCAAGCTTGGTGGCTGGCACTTTACTGAACTCTCTCGCTGGCCCTCATAGTTTCTTAAGAGGAGAAGCTGATTAATGAAAAGTCCTCAAACTTGCTTTGTGACAGAGGACAGCCTTCATCACAGTCTTCTTTATCCCTATTTGTCATATGGGCACATATGTGCACTGCCACCCCCACACCCAATTGCTCACTTTTATTATTTTTTTGTCCCTCTGTTTCTTATTTTGTCTGCAAAAGCCTAACCTTCTTTCAAATATTTTACCACAAAACCCCAGACTTCTCTCAAGACTTGGGGAGTGGTGGCTGCTGCATGGCTTTGAAGTTATGTGTCTTCCTTTCCACTTTTTCGTTAAAGAGGCTGGCTGTGACTCAGTTCTATAGACCCTGAAAAGAACCTATGCTGAGCTAAGAGTGAGCAAGCTCTGCTGAGGTGAATGATCAAAACTCTCAAGACCCGAGGTTTTGTAGTCAAAAGCCAGCTGAGAGTAAATGAGACACCAGATGCTGTATTTGTGACACATTCAGGCTGCTTTGTAGATTTGGTGACTCTCAAAGGCATCAGGGGACAAGAGTGGCTATTCCGATTTATGTATGCTTTGAGAGGTGAAATAAAAAAATAAATACAGACACACAACAACAACCTATACTTTGCTAGCATCTGGCCAGACAGAACAGCTAAATCATGACTTCCCCTTAAACACACAGTCTGCAATTGTTGCCTTTTTATGGACTTCTCCACATTCTCTTCTGTCTTTAAGGTTTCTTTTTTAAATTATAGGCCACTGCAATGTTCAAGAAAACATATACTATCCACTGAACCTTTATATAACAGCCAAGCTCCTGCAGGGAAACCAAATATGACTTAGCTTTGGTTCCTGCCCCGGAGTGCTTCGGTTTCTTATGTTCATGGTCCCTTTTAGTCTATGATCACACAAAAGTGACTTGTCACTGTTTCTAATGATGCATTTTGGTGTGGTAACTTTATTTTAAAACAAAAAAACTTCCCACAAACATATTATAAATAATACATATTTTTGTGGAAGTTTTTTTGAACATATATGTATGTATAATATGTATATTATGTAATATGCATATTATATATTATATATAAATATAGTAAAGATCAATCTATAACAATGAAATGGCAAAAAATCACCTATATACCAAGATGTGTGGTTGAGCATGGCCAATCCATCCTGCCAATGAAGTAAGGCAACCACTGGGAATATCGACTTTGGAATGAGAGGTCTGGCAAAGGCCTCAGCTGGCACTTAATCAGCAGAAGAAGTTCCAACATGAAACTTAAGCGACTCCCTCTGGCCCAATGACCTATCTACACAGTGGGAATGTTGATGAGTATGCCTGGAAAGTGTCTCACACATCCTCACTGATTTAAACCCATTAGAAAGCTCTCCTGGAAATGACAACTTTCACTGTAAGAGCAGGGCTTCAGCAGTGCAGTGTAACTGCAGAAAGGACACAGAGAGGAACCTGCCAGAGACACTGACCTGGGAGAGAGGGCATTCTTTGGCTAATGTGCTCTGGTTCATTTCTTTGAGCAGTTCCTTTAAGGCATTGCGGACGGTGGCGTGGTTCCACTGCTCCGCAGGCAAGTCTTCCAACTTTGAACAACTGCAAAACAGAGGGACAGTGAGTGACACAGGGCCTCAACCATGGCCCTGGCTGCCCAGGACCACACAGCAAGTGCTATGTGGCTTCTGGATCCTCACATCTAGAAGGCTCCAAAGAAAAGGAAGGGGAACAAGCTGCTTCTGCAGACGGCGACGGACGCCCCCAAGTGACATAACACTGTGGTCTTTCCCAGCAGACTCATGATGGGCCTTCCGTCAAAATCAAGTGTGAAGGCTCACCTTTCCCAGAAAAATTTGGACAGGCTTCTTTTCCAGTCACAAAATAACTGAAGAACTGCTAGAAAAGGGTGGGGTACTCAGTCCCTATTAAAGGAAAAATTGTCCCAAAGAGAACAGTTTTAAAAAAAAAATCTTACATTGAAGGACAACATTGCTTAAGCCACAACTTGCAGTCACTTTATGATAAAAAGGCTACAGAGAACCCCTAGACGTTGGGAGGTACATAGCATTTCTGGTCCCCCTAGAGGCCATAGGCTTTCACTGACTGACCACCACAAAAAGAAAGACATCATTAAACAAATCATCCCCTCAACAGACAAACCAGAAGGCAGCAGAGGGATCTAACGCTTCAGATGCTGTGCATTAAGCTCCTGAGAAAGCCAAGCGAAGCCACAAAAGGGGCTGTGGACAGCCTTTGCCTGACCCGAAGACTTTTAATGATTTATCAGGCAGCCCCTTGAGTGAGCAGTTCACTGCCTCTGAAAACAGCATAAAACAGTTGGAATGTGGACTATAAAGATGCCTGGTGAGGCATCCCCAGCTCCCCTCCTCTCTCCCCCCTTCTTCATTTCACCCACTGTCTAGAAATGATGTCTGCAGTGAATGGAAGATCCATGCAGCATCTGAGAGGAAGCTGAGACAGCCGTTCAGAAATCCCCACCTTTGTAATTGGATCTTCAACGTCACAACGTGATAGACATCTTGCAGCATGTCGGCCACAGTCGCATCAGGGGCGTCTGTCACATAACTGAGGGGGAGAGGGTTCCACCTCCCCAGCTTGATTATTCCTGCACAGGGAAGAAAAACACAATAAACATATATCTGCTATTTATTAAATCTTTCCAGTTTGTTCAATGTCAAGAAGGTCATTCAATAGTCAACACTGAACACCCACTCTGAGAGTTTACAACCCAGTGCAATGAGGAATTTCTTCCTGGCTGACAACTGGGTTAGTGAACTACACAAGGGAGATAAGGAATGAAAAGAATGGAGTTTAATCATGGACAATTGGTTCTTTTATGTTTTCCTGTGTCTTAAATTACTTAAAAAACCATACGGATATTTCCTTTCCCCAAAGTCTTGTTTCATAGTCTAAGACTGATGCTAAATATATAGGGTTGCTGATTCCACAGACCCAAAAACAAAACCAACCAACCAAACAAACAAAGCAAGTTTCATGTAAATATAAGGCTTGATTTTTGAATTGAATTGAACAAGAAGGCTGTTGTGTGGGCTCCACAGCCCCATTGTGAATGGGGTATGATTCCTGGGGTGCAGCACTCAGCACCCCTGGAACAGAGGTCCCCAAGCTTTCTGGTTGCAGGTGTCACCTAAGGTGCCTTCACCTGCCTCTCTGTTTTTCTTCCTGGGATCTTTTCAGAATGACAACAGTACCTTTCCCTGTGGGTTTCCTGGTGTCTATAGTAGCCCTGGATGTGCTCCTGGGCTAGCTTTGGCTGCAAAGAGCAGCAACTTGGGAATTAAGCTCCATTGCAGGAAGATTCATGTGATACTCAGGCAGTTTGTGAGGAAATGCTAACTTATTTATTCTTTCTATGGGCCCCTCTGGTCTGGAGTGCAGGGCACGCAGAAATTTGATGAAGAAAAATAAAGAAACTCATTTCACAAATGATGCTGGGTAACAAAACTTTTATTCCATGCTATGAAAAATCTGATGGTCCCCACGGGATGTCAGAAATTGTCACATATAAAAATGTTATGTTTTAGAAATAAAAGAAAAATAGCATTTTTATTTTTTCTTTTGACAATACAGGTGAGTCTAAGTACATTGTTCTCTCAAAATACATATATTTTTATCACTGATGCGAGAGAACACCTGCATACCCAAAGGTACTTTTAAAAGATTCACGAAATGACTCCATAGCTGTGGGGCAAAATTCAGAGGGTAGAAAACGAACTTTCTGGTGTGAGGGCATGTCCTGTCCCAAATGAGATAAATGAACGCGTACTGCCTGACATAATGCTTGAAAACAGGGAAGAAACAGAACAAAAATATTAAAATGATGCACTGTTTCAGTATTAAGACTTAACAATCTGCTGCCGAATATGCTACAGTATAAATAGTGCCTGGACTCGGCTCCAGCTAAGCAGCGCGGCTCTCATTCATGGTGCCGTATGTCTCCAGTTCTGGCTCCTTAAGTCATCTTTCCCCTGCCAAGAAAAGCTGTTTTTTTTGTGGGGGATAGTTTCCCTAACATTCCCTCTATCACAATGAAAAGTGCACAGCACGCAGCTCGGGGTAGACACGAAATGAGCATCCAGGGCCCTGGACAGCCACCCTGGAGCAGCCAGGTCTGCTTCCCTCCCTTTTATCTTTTCTGGCATTTGCCATATTAAAAAGACACTGGAGAATATGTCCAATCTACTACCTTCTGAAGAAAATCACTGTACAATATTCACTTCCTTTAAGAAAGCTATTGTCATGATCACCCACAAGTTCAACAGAAACTGATCGTATCCTACAGGCACAGTTTTTATATTCAGATAAGAGAATACAGGAGAGAATGGATGTCAGAGGCTGTGCTCTCTGACTGGCACAGAGAAGAATCTGAGAGTTATTTTGGTTGTCGTGACCAAGAAGATAATCTGAAAAAAAGGAAGCCTGCAAACTTCCAGGGACAGTTCTCTGGGACATTCTTCCTGCCATGTGTCTGTAGTTCATTCCATTTTATTTTTTTTAAGGAATGTTACACAGTGCAGGCAGATACAACCAAATATAGCTGTGTAATTTCATTTATATCAAATGCAAGAGCAGCAAGACTAACCTAAGGGAACAGAATTGAGACAAGCAGGTGAGAGAATTCACCAGAAGGGCTTGCTTGCTCGGGCTAGTGGCTGCACTAGTATAAAATCTGTCAAAATTCACCAAACCAGCCTCCTAATATAAATACGATTATTGCATACACATTACACATGCCAAGCATGGTGGCAAATGCCCATAATTCCAATACATTCAAAGCCACCCTAGGCTATACAGTGAGTCTAAGGCTAGCCTAAGCTATATGGTATGGTAGTAGGGGGTGGCTCAGTTAGGAAAGTGCCTGCCTTGTAAGCATCAGAAACTGAATTCAGATCACAAAAGCTGGGCACAGTGGTGTGTATCTATAACACTAGTGCCAAGGCCCGCAACAGGCAGAGCCCTGATCTTGCTGGCCCTTCAGCTTAGCCAATCAGTGAGCTCCAAGTTCAGCGAGAGACACTGTCTCAGGAAATAAGGTGAGAATCATGAAGGGAGACACTAAATGTCTAATGTACACACATGCACACATATGCACATGCACTCAAAACACATATGTACAATCACACACACACATACGAGCTGGGTATAGTAGCACATGTCTGTAACCTAACAATAAAGCGAAATATCAAGAGTCCAAAACTGACTGGGCTTCATAATGAGACAATATTTCAAAACAAAAAACAAAAAACAACAAAACAAAACAAAACCCAGTTAACCCAGTGGGTAAAAAAATAATTTTTTTAAAGGGAGAGGTGTGTTCAAAGTAATAGGCTGAAGACAGCTATCTCCATCTAGATAAACTCTCTCCCCAACTCAGTGAGCCAGGAAGAGACTTGTTTAGGCTGTAACTAGTCATGCAGGTGCCTCAAAACACTGAATACCTCCACACGGAGCATCTGCCCCAAGCTGGTCTCTACAGCTTCAAGGGACCAGAGGGCGCATGCTATGCTCTCTGGCCAGGGAGACAGTGCCTGCTTTTCCTTCTTTCCACTGTTGAGAGGTCACAGTGTACACTCAATTGTCTACCTAGGGCAGAACAGCTAAGAAGGGGCTCTCTTCAGTGTGCCGTCCCTCCAAGCAGGGTTGTCTGCCTAATGCATTAATCCACTTTGCAAAACATTCTTTGGAACAGTCTCCTTCCCTGATTAAAAAAAATTGACAAAAATATTACTTAGAATAGCAGTCAAATGTTAATTAAAGAAATCAAACTGGGAAGCAGTAATCCACAGCAAGTATGAATGAGTGCGGGCTTCCAAGGAAACTGCCGCCACAGATCGCTCCTGGCTTCCACCATCTTCTCATCATGTGACTCAAGCAAGTTACTTAATGTCTCCGTTCCTCAATCTGCTCATCCGTGAAATGGAATTGAAACACATAGAGTTTGATTAAAGAAAAATGTGTATGTTACACATAAAGCCCTTTGTATAAAGCTTTGTCCGAAAGAGAGACCGGAGAGAAGCATGTACACTTCAGTTACTCCACTGCAGGAAGGTAATCAGCAGCAAGCTGGGGGTGAGTTTTGTGCAAACTGAGATTTGGGGCCAGCTGTTTCCTTTCTCTACACTTAGTTTTCCAGTCTATAAAGTGGGAATAATACCTATGCCCACTTTTGCGTTACTATGAAGTTTTCAATTAATAGGGATTGTCAAATAACAAATGCTCAACAAAAACCAGGGGCAAACATCTTTGCAAAGTTCTGAATGAGGTCATGGCAGCATCATAGCAAAGCTATAGGAGATGAATCTTTCTTGGAGGAGTGTTGGATGAACAGAGGGAACTACCCTAGAGGGAGAAAAAAAGCTGCAATAACCCAGGCAGGAGTGGTTAAATTACTATGTAGGCAAACTCACCCTAGCCTTTAAGGTAGGGTCACCAAAGTGAATTTAAAAAAAGAGAGAAGGGAAGGGAAGAGAAGGGGAGGGAAGGGGAGAGGAGGAAGGAAGGGGAAGGGGGGAAGGGAAGGGGGCCGGGGAAGGGGAAGGGGAAGGGGAAAGAGATTTGTCATAGGCCTTTTAGGGATAGTTCCTGACTCACACAATATTAGGGGAATCTTAGTAACTCTGGCATAAGCAGCAGTATACAGATATTATTTCTAAAACCACAATCTAAGCTTTTTAACTCTAGCAGGTAAAATTGAAAACAAATATTACTGAGGTCAGATTTTTTTGACACAAATGGGCATGCACACATGTCCAGTAAAGCATATGGCAGATGAAGATCCACTTTCCTGCTCTGGACAGACAACACACTCTCACTTTGTCTAGAACACTGATCCTCAAGAGTCACTTCTAGAATCATGTACAGTCTTCAGATTCCAACCTGAGACTAGTTCAACTCTAAGCAACCAATCTGAAGTAATCCTTTCTCTGCACAGCTGCACAGAGAGCATCTGTTCTTGGCTTGTGAGTCTTATCACAATGTCCCTTTCTGCTACTTTATGGGTACCAAGTCTTTTTATTGTCTTCGTTTGTTTTTGTTTTTGCTTTTCCTGTTTCTTTGTCCATTTTTGAGATAGGGTATGACTATTACGTAGCCTAGGCTTGCTCAAACACATGATCCTCCTGTTTCAGCCTCATGAGTACTGGAGTTATGAGTGAGCTACCACATCCAACATCTGGTGCTTTCAAGAATCATTCGTTCATTTGTGGTGAGTTATTATTGTACATGGAAGTGAGCTAAAGGTTAGGAGAAAGTGACTTGAAAAGAAATCAGTGGATGGCAGCCAGGACTAGGAACTGGGCTTCATTTTTAACTACTAGACTCCTCCTACTCAGCTCTGCTGCTGTAAGTGTGAGTCCTCATGCCCAAAACAGGTCCCTCAAGCAGGGCTATGCTTGCCCTCAGTCATATGTCAATCAGGGCATTGACATTTATTCTGATGGAAAGAACCATATGAAACCTAGGAGCCACCAGGTGATAAGGCCAAAAGGCAGAAAAGCTATCATCTACACCTCGACGTTCTCTGGGGAAAATGGTCCCCGAAAGGAGCCACTGAAGACATAAACATTATCTCCCAAGTCATCCAAG